TGCCCAGCATTTGACTGCGTTCCAGTTTCCGGGCCTGGTGCTGTTCTCGGGGTCAACGACTCCGGCCTGAACTTTCAGACGCAAGCGCCTACCCTCAGCCCTCATGGCCCTTACATTCTAGCAGAGGAGGCAGAGAACACGAGACGGGAGAGGGGTAGCGTGTGCCGATCGGGCAGGGGCCAATGCCACGCCACGAAGGAAAGGAAGTCAGCTGATGTGGGAGAATGAAACTGTTTTAGATCAAGAGGCTGGAGGAGGTTTCTCTGAGTAGGTGAAATTTAAGGAGAGTCACAAAGGGAGGGAGAGACCCGCCCTGTGGCCATCTGGGGGAAGGGTCACAAGGAGTGGTGATAGCAGAGGGGGGGTCCCCTGATAAGAATACGTGTGGCTCTTCTGTCTGAGGGACACGGAGGCGGGGGGTCCCTGGGACTCGGCGCAGCGAGCAGGGGGTGGATGGTGGCAGACAACCGGGTCAGGAAGGTGGCCAGGAGCCTGCACTTTCTTCACAAAGCCATCCAGTGCCTGCAGTTGCTGCAACTGATGATTTGGTTCTTTGTTTACTGACAGACATGAGAGCAAGGACGTTCGTCGCATTCCCTCTCTGCTCCGTCTCTGGCCCCTCCGCTGGCGCCTGGCACATTCGAATTCATACATCTGTGATGCACGAGCGAGTGAGTGAGTGAATGGGCTGCAGCACATCGTGGCTGGGCAGCTAGGAGCACAGGCTTAGGCTTTTTGGCAGAAAACAGGTTACCGACACACCACTGGCTCTCAGGGCTGCCAGGAGGGTCAGGAGCTGAGGCCTGTGGAGCCCTCGGCCGCGCCTGGCACAGTGCGGGTCCCGCCCGGTGGCGGGAGCCGTTACTGCTTCGCTGTTCCGGTCGCTATTCCCAGGATCGGACGGTGGTTAGGATCATCCAGGCCGCCTGGATTTGAACATCCGCTCTGCGTGACCTGGACCCAGTTATTTAGCCTCTCTGTGCCTCCAGATCATCATCTGCGAGCGGAGACGAGAAACCTCTCTTGGAGCAGCTTGGGTGAGGATTAAACAAGCGGGCATCTACAAAACACAGCTGGCACAAAACATTCAATCTCTGCTACGTTCATGGTTATTGTGATTATTATAATTATCCGTAGAGGTGGTCAGAGGACGTGATCCCCTGGAGAGAGATTTGCAGACAATACCAGGAGGACACCAGGGCTGTATAAATAAGCTTCACCCTCACAGGAGTGTGAGGGCGTAGACTTGTTTCGGGAGGGACTCTGTGGGTGGTTTATGTTACTGTGTTTTTAATCATTTGTTTTCGTGTGGGTGTGTGGGCAGAAACAGGGCACTGGGCTTGGAGTTCAAACACACCTGGGTTCAGAAGCCACAAGCGGGTGGCCTTGAACAAGTCGTGCCATGCCCTGAGCCTCAGTTTCCTCATCTGTAAAAGGGGGTGGTGACCAAAGGGACCTCTGTGGGAGAGAGGGGGGCGCTGTGGTGAAGACTGAATAAAAACATGCTTGGGAAGCATCCGGCTTGGCGGTCAGCCCCTTCTAAGCGCTGCAGAACTTCAGTCAATATTCCAGTGCTGTTTCCGTGCGTGGAGTCTGTCACGCGAGGGTGAGACAATTCAGACGCAGGGCTGCTGACACGTCTTCCCTGCCCAGGGCTGCTGGGCTCCTGCAGTGCACCCGGCACCCTTCTGGGTGAGGTTGGGGGGTGGCTACTGCAGTGCACAAGGCACGGAGAACGCTGCCCTCAGGGAGCCAGGTGCGCTGGCGGTGCCAGGAGGGTCATCGCAGGGGGTCTGAGAAAAGGAAGGACAAAGGCGTGAGCGCACTCGCCCCCATTTGCTGGCCGGCGTGCCGCCAGCTCTGGGTTAGACGGCGAACCTGGAGACCGAGTGAATGGGAGGCCACCGGGATTTGTTCCCGCGCCCAGGAAAAGAGTTCCAAACCCCTGCAATTGCAGATAAAACAGGGCGCCAAAATGCCGTGCAGAAAACCGTGTCTCCCTGGGAGTCGCAGAAGCCCGAGGCTCAGCCCTTCCAGCCCCTGCCCCGCCGTGGCGGGACCGCAGGTGGAAGGGAGGGAGGCGGGAGGGAGGGAGCACGGGTTCCTACCTGCGGTGGGAAGCAAAGGCTCGGAACTGGGCGGTCCACAAGCCTGTGTCTCTGTCCTGCCCAGCACTACCTGTGCGACCTTCGGCCTCTCATCCCCAGGCCCCGGTTTCCGGAATGCAAGGTCACATCACCCTCGCCCAGGGTGGTCTGTCTGAGGATTAACTGTGGTCCTTCTCGTGTGAAAGCCCCCACAGGGTGACAGCCAAGAGGACCCCCGTTCCAGGGCCTGGGGTCTAACGTGCCCCCACACCCTCCCCAGGGTCTTTCCCTGCCTAGGAGAACGGGTGGGAGGCTGGCTGCCCTCGCCGGCCTTTCCCGGGCCTGGCCCCGTGCTCCCACCTGGTGAGGGCCCAGGGGGTTATTGACTGTCTCCTCCCGTGACAGCTGGCTCCTTTGTGGGTGGCTGGGCCTGTCCCTGCAATGCAGCCAGTGTCCAGTGCGGCAGGGGACAGCAGGTGCGGGGGCGGCTCACGGGGCAAGACCCGGGCAACACAGTCCCGTTCTGGTTGCGGCCATGGGCTGCCCAGTCCCACTGGCTCAGGCGCCGATCCTCAGCCAGCTGTGCGGTCCTGGGTAGGTGGCGTTACCCCTCTGAACCATGAGAGTCCAGTGGGTCATGAACAAACGTGCTGAGCATCGGACCTGGTACACAGTCTGTGCTCAGGGAACGTGTGACCACGACTCTAAGACGCGGCACCACCGAGCGGTCAAGAGCCAGACGGCCCAGGTTCAAATCCCAGCTCTGCCACTTCAGAGAGATGACATATTCTGCCGTGTATAACGTGCACCCACGTTTCATATAGAACCATTTACATTGATACGGAAGCAGTACTACCACGTACAATGCGCATCCTTGTTTTTCACTGAAAAATGTGGCAAAAAGTGTGCGATATACACAGCAAAACACGGTGTATGCACAGGCAAGTCTCATCGTCACACTGTGCCTTGGTCTTCTCATCTGCAAAATGCGGGTGATGACAGTCCCTTCCTTGTAGGGTCGTGGGAGGGTGAGGTGAGCTAACACACATGAACAAAGTGCTCAGAGTGGAACCTGGCACCTGGAAAGTGCCGGACAAATGCTGGCGATGCACATGCCTGTTCTCGGGCTGCGCGCCCTGCCTCCCCTGCCCAGGGCCTGGGCGCTGAAGTGTCCTCGAAACAAGAAGGATCCGGCCACAGAGGGTGTGTCCCCCCTTCCTCCCCAGGCTCCGAGGGGCTGTGGAAGGGAGGCCTGGAGAGGAAGGGGGGGTCTTCCCAAGTAATCCCACCTGAAGATTTGCCCTTAAAGAAACACAGTCCCAGCAAAAACAACACCACTCCCTCAGATCCACAGGCAAACCCACCGCGGCCCCAGCCCAGGCCCCGGGCAGGCCAGCTTTCCCCTGGGGCGCACCCAGCCGCCCTCCCCTCCTGTCTCCACACGCAGCCGGCCTCGCGCGGGCGCCAATTGCAGAGAGAGCTGCGGAGGCTCCTCTGCCCAGCTGTGACGTCAGCCTGGAGCTTCTAGCCTGGTGATCTCACCCTGAGTCAAGTGGGGACCCAGTCACTGAGCTATTGTGGTGGTGGAGGGCTGGCGGGGCGGGGGGGGGGGGGGCTCCGTCTCCCTCTCTCACCTGGAAGGCCAGGCGGCTGGGGGCCTGGGTCACTCAGCTGAGCAAGGACCAGGGATGCAGAACAACCCCGTCCCCTCCCAGGCCTGCCGCCCCACAGCTGCATGCACGGGCCAAACTCTGCGCCTCCGTTTCCTCGCCTGCAAAACAGGGGCTGGGTGGGGGGCACACCCCCGTGCTGTGGTGAGAGCCTAAGGGATTACTGTCTGCAGCTGCTCCCCGCAGTGGCCCACAGGCAGGCACACGGGGAGGTGGCAGGAAAGGATGGGGCTGATGCTGTTCCCCGTGTTATTATTTTTAGCAAACTGCCTCACGCAAGCACTGCTCTACCATCAAAATGATTTCTCAGCGGATGACTCACTGAATTCCTTAGCACCCCCACCCCACCCCACGAGGGAGGCAGGGCCGAGACCCAGGAGCCCACGGAGGGAGAATGGCATGCCTCAGATGGCCCACCACCTGTTGGGGACCGATCCAATACTGGAACCCCCGCCTCGAGGAGCCTTGCCCCCCCCCACCCCCCCCGCGGGTCCAGCACCTGTTGCTCAGTTTCACGATTCACAGGCATCATCATGATAGAAGCTGCCCTTCGTCACCACGTCGCACGGCAGTTTCCTCATCTGGAAAGAGGGATGGTGGGGCGGATTCCTATTTGTGAAGCACTTAGAACGGCCCTGGCACACGGCGAGCGCTGGGCAATGGAGAACTCGGCGTGGAAGATGCGGGAGTGCCAAGTCGGCGAAGTGCGTGGGGAGTGTCGCCTCCACGAGCAGGCTGCTGTGAGGTCCACTTTACAGGTGGGAGAACCGACAGGCAGCTCAGAGATGCGTGGGACTAACGTGACCGCCCCCCAGCAGACACCGAGGGAAACTGCGGACTTGTAGAGGGGACTGCCACCCAGGGCCATCTGCCTTCAAAGCCACCGGGCTCCCGGATCTCTCCTTCCCTCTGCAGGTCCCCAGGGGGGGCGGCAGGATGCAGCCCACTCTGCGGAAAGTATTTGCAGAGGGTGACCTGAGCCTTCAGCCAGGCCGAGGGTTATTAATAGCCAGGTCTAAAGCGCCCGGCTCCGGAGGGCGGGGCCCTGGGGCAGAGAGAGGGAGGGCGGGGCGGGGCGGGGGGCGGAGACCGCCCCGGAGCCTGGCGGAGCCGGACGCCGAGGCCCCTCCCAGCCCCAGGGGAGCCCCGCTGGTCCCACACAGATTCTCCGGGGCTGGTTCACCACCTCCGAATACTCCTGTGACAGGAGGCGCTCGCAAAACCCGCCCCCAGCCCCTAGCGGCAGTATATATGCGGTTCCCAGCCCAGAAGCCAGGAGAAGTTTCTAGGCCCGCGTCCCCGGGGGTTATTAAGCTCCTGGCTCCACTCTAGACTTCAGCGGCCCTGGCTGCGAGCCTGGACCGCCTGGGAAGACGGTGGCTGGCGGAGCGCTGGTGAGGCAGCGTGGACAGGGGCTCTCTGGGGTTCTGAAGGACCGGCCAGGGGTCGCCTCCGGTGGCTGGAGCGTCTTCGGGGGCCTGGATCCCGGTCTGGTGCACCCCTCCAACCTTGGCCGTGAATGGTTCAGATATTTTTGAAGCTTGGAAGACCAGCCCGCCCACCTCACCTTGCGGTGTGAGCTCGGCCAGGTGGCCCCCTCTCTCCGAGCCTCCGTGCGCGCTCCGGCTCCGCGGCTGCCATGGCTGACGGCCAGCTGCCCTTCTCCTGCCACTACCCCAGCCGCCTGCGCCGGGACCCCTTTCGGGACGCGCCCCTCTCCTCCCGCAGCCTGCTGGATGACGGCTTCGGCATGGACCCTTTCCCCGACGACTTGACGGCCTCTTGGCCCGACTGGGCCCTGCCTCGACTCTCCTCGGCCTGGCCAGGCTCCCTGAGGCCCGGCGCAATGCCCCGGGTGCCGACCGCCACGTCCAGGTTTGGGGTACCTGCTGACAGCAGGAGCCCCCCACCCTTCCCCGGGGAGCCCTGGAAAGTGTGCGTCAACGTGCACAGCTTCAAGCCGGAGGAGCTGATGGTGAAGACCAAGGACAGATACGTGGAGGTGTCTGGTGAGTGGGGGCCCAGAGGGAGAGAGAAGGGGTAGGGGTGGGGGGCCCCAGCCCTGGGAATAGCCAGGAGCACTCTCCTTAGAGGGGAAGCTGTGACAGCACGACCCAGGTGACTTCAGGGCTGAGGAATGCGGCCCACGGAGATTATCTCCAGGGAAGAACTGTCCCCTCCTGGCACCCAGGAGACCCCTCCACCTGGCCCAGCCGCGGGGGCCGGGGCCTCGGGGCACTGTGTCACTCAGAGAACAGGCAGGAAAACGGAAGCCAAGTCGGGTATTTCGACAGAGGATTTCATACACAGAAGAAGTGAAACAGACATGGAAGGGATACAGAGACAAACAAGAAGTGGGGTTCCTTGCACCCCAGCCTCACAACATAGTCCGGAAGGGCGTGTTTAACGCTGAGTGTTGGCAGTGGTACTAACCAACTGCCAACGTTTCGAGGGGAACGCTCCCCTCGTCCCAGACAAGAAACCGAGGCTTCCTAGTCACTTTAACGTTGCCCATTGGTAACCTGGGCTGAGCGCTTAGTGCCTGCTGACGCCACACTAAGCACCTTATCGGTAGCATCTCGGTGAATGCCACCAGAGGACCTGGGTCCTGCTGGTCGAGGAAACTGAGGCACAGGGAGATGAAGGTAACTCTCCCAAGGCCACCAAAGAGTCAGATCCAGGCTGTCTGGGAATTGGTCATTTAAGCACCTACTAGGTGCAAAGGACTGGGCGTACATGCTTCTACTCCTTCTCCCCAGTAACCCTGAAAAGCAGAGGGGTCTAGTCCCATTTCGCAGCTGAGACTCAGACCCTGGCGGGATTCGCCCAAGGTCACGCTGTGAGTCAGCAGCAGGACGAGTCTGGGCCTGCCCACCGCTCCAGGCGCAAGGCCCTGGTCACCACCACAGGTCCCAGCCTGGGAGGGAGTGCTCTGGGAGACAGGAGAGAGGAGGCTGGAGTCTTGGGCCCTGTTAGGAGAAGCTTTCTTTCGCTTCCCTCCCGATTAAAGGGCCATTACAAAGAGCTGTTCCCCAGCAGGCTCTGCCGGCCAGAAAATCAATAAAAGCCGTTGTGGAGGCAGGCTGGGCAGGGACAAGCGCTGGCAGGGAGGCGTTCGGGGGAGTTTCAAAGCCTAGCCAATGGCATTGTAAGCCTCAGAGGTTCTGGTGGGTGTGGTGGGCCAGGAGACAGGCTGGGGCCCCCCTGCTGATGGGCAAATGTTTGAACTTCGCTCTGCTCTGTTGCCTCATCTGGAAATTGGGGTCCAAAGGGCTACACGGCATAAGGATTATTGTATTAAATGAGGAGAGGCGTGGGCCGCGTGTATATAGGACCTGAAGCACAGCGGGTCAGCGTTGTTATTGAAGCTGATGCTGTGGTTAAAATGCGGGCCACACAGTGAGACCCCGATACATCATAAATGGCAGATGGTCTTGGAGACCTGGGTTCAAATCCTGGCTCCGCTCTTCACGCTCTGGATGGATATACACAGGAGGGACTTTCCACTGCTCTGAGCCTCAGTTTCCACATCTGCAGAGGGGGGACCACAGTGACACCTCTCCCGTAAGGCCGGAGGGGAGACTAAATGTGCGCGGGCCGTACAGAATGCACGCAGGGTATCTGTGAAGCGGAGCTGAGGACAGTGCCTGCCTGGCCGTCCGCAAGCAGGTGTCAGTTACGACTGCTCTCTCTGTGTCAGTTACGGTTCCAGAGTTTTCCATTCCAGGTTGGGGGCTGCCCCACACCTTGAGGCCCTTCCAGGAGACCTCTGTCCAGCCTGGGGGGCTTTGCCCCCCATCCCCCATTCTATGAGCTTCTTAACAAGTGGGGCTGGCAGCTCCAAGCTGAGACCCCCGCTAAGCGCCTTACTAATCCAGGGGCTTTGAATGAGTTACGGAGCCTCAGCTTCCACATCTGTACAATGGGTGTCACCGAGGAACCTAAATGAGACACAGACAGATAAATGGGACAAAACAATGAGCCAGAGCCTTTTGGGGTTGTAAAATTCTTGCACGCGTGCACTTAGCACCCTTGGCTTGACAGACTCCAGGTCCCCGGGGAGTGCGTGCAGAGACTCTCATAAAAGAGGTTTCACAGATCTGATCGGCATCAGGGGCTCCATGGAAAAGCAACTTCCGAGGGAAGTCAGAAGTCAGGGCCAGCCCCCGACCCTGCCCCACACAAGGACAGGCCTGGTCTCCCCCAAGCACCCGTGCGGGCACCGTGCTCAATACCTACGCAGTTGGCTGGCTGGTTCTGCCCGTGGAATTCTAAGGAAATGCGGGCAGAGTGGTTACACCCATTCTACAGGTGAGCAAACTGAGGCCCAGGGAGTGTAGCTCACCTGAGATCACCCGCTTCCCCACAGCAAGGTCTGAAATGCAAAGCTGGGCCTGTGGAGACAGCCCCAGTCAGGGCAGCTGGACCTGCTTCGGACTGCGTGGCCCTCGGCAAACCCCACCTCCCACCGCCCGCCCTTGGCTCTACCACTGGGCCCGGGAGCGGGTGGACTGGATGGGGATTGGCCAAACTGTGGGCTTTAAGATGTCACAGGCCTCTGAGACATGGGTGGAGGAGGGGGTCCAGCACTCTAGAAGGTGCCATGTGAAACCAAATGAAAGCCGGGTCTCCTCACCCGAGCCTGAGCTTGCTCACGGAGCCTCGGGCTCGCTGAGCCACGGCCGGGCTTATCTGAGCGCACACAAGTGTCCAGGGCCGGGGGGTGTTTGGAGGATGCTGAACCAGGAGACTTCCATCACGCCTCACACGCTCCCACCCCCTCCCTGCCCCCATCAGCCAAGAAACGTCCCCTCCCTGGGCCACTGGGCCAGGCCCTGGCCCAGGCAGGGGCTGGAAAGCCCCGAGACCTTCGGCTGGCCCCTTCTCCCAGGCCCGGCTCTGACATTAATCCCAGGGCCTCTGCCAGCCCTGGTGACAGCACCTTCTTCCCTTCGCCGGGCTGGCGACTTCCCCGAAACGCTGGCACCCACGGCCCTCCCCGAGGCTTGTTCAGAGATGACGGGCGGCTGCCGGGGCCCCCAGCTTCCTGGCCTTCAGATGACTTCCCTCTCTCTCTCTCTCCCCCTCTCCCTCTCTCTCTCCCCATTGTTAATCATAATAGTTATTTTTCTCTGTTTACAAAAACCAAATAGTTCCACATAGAAAATATAAACAGGAGAGCAAAATAGGAGATTAAAAATCACTCACTATCCTTGAGCGCGGGCTGTGAACCAAAGCATCGCAGGTTCAATTCCCAGTCAGGGCACATGCCTGGGTTGCAGACCATGACCCCCAGCAACCGCACATTGATGTTTCTCTCTCTCTCTTTCTCCCTCCTTTCCCTCTCTAAAAAATAAATAAATAAAATCTAAAAAAATCACTCACCATCCTTCAACAGCCCCTAATAGATATTCAAATGACATGCAAATTAAGCTTCACGATGCAACTCCTACCACCTTCTTTCAGCCAGAGCGACCCCCTCCCCACACCCCGCCCCATGGAAATCCAGGAGCTGGCCCTGCTCAGAGGGCCTCTCCTTGAACCCCAATACCTTACTTTCAGGGCGCAGGCAGGGAGGGGTATCTTCTGAGGGGCAGTCCTGCCCCCAAACATCAAAACAGACCACAGGCACTTACCTTCACGCAGCCTGCAAAGCGATTCTGTGACTCACTCTCATTCGCTCCTCATGGCAACCCAATAATTAGGGTGTTGTTGTCACCCCCACTTCAGAGAACAATAAACAGAGGCTGCTGGGAGGAAAGCAGCGATATGTCAGCAGATGTCAGAGCAGGGACGCAGCTCTGGAGCCCACCCACCTGCCTTCGAACCTTGGCTCCAGCTCTTCCACGCTGTGTGACCTTGGGCATGTCGCTTAACCTCTCTGAACTTCTGTTCCCTGTCCACAAACTAGCAGTAATAAACATGCTTGCTCTCTAAGATTATTGTGATATAAATGAGTTGCCTAGTGTAGCAGCTGACACCAAAATGTGCTTATGAGTTTGCTATTATTATTATTCTTGTCCTCCTCGCCCTCCTCCTTTGCTGCCCCCAGGACACCAAGTGTGCAAAAGCACTGAGTCAGAGGCACTGGCCCGTCCCCAGGGGAGGCAGGCCTCCCGAGGCCCAGGCTTTGGGGACGGTACCAGGGGACAGACTGTGTGCCTCTGGCCACCTGCCTGGGCGCTGGACAGTTGGTGGGCATGACTTGGCAGGCCGGAATAAACTCTCAGGCCATCAGCACATTCGCAGAATAGCATGTTCTGGCCAGCCCAACCCTGCAGCTTCAGAACGACTTCCTGTAAACGTGCCCCTTTCCGCCCAGCCGGTGGCAGAGACAGGGAGGTAGCCTTTCCTGGGGGTGACGTAGCAGTGCAGATGAAAACTTAGAAATTCTAGAACTCGGAATTTATGCTGAAGAAGCCGCTGGTCTGGGGGGTGAAGATCTAGCTACAAGAATGTTCAGTGCCGTGAGATTGTTTCCAATGCCAGGAACTGTCTCAGCGCCCGAAAGCTGGGCACTGGTGACATCGTGACCTTGTGTGTCCCCGCAGGGAACGCCATGCCACCCTTAAAAATCACGTTGAGGGACATTTGCTGTGATACAGAAAAATGACACTAATGTGCTAGCAAGACATAAAAACAGGTGCATTGTATAGGTTGACCTCATTTGATAAAATATACGACACATCTATACTATGTAACATTTATGCATTTCTAAGTAACAGAAAGAAAAGTCTGGAACAGATGCCAAAGTGTCAGTGGTTTTCTCACGGCGGTGGGAGTCTGGGTGGTTTGAACTGATTTTTTTTCTTTATTTTCTACATTTTCTGTATACACATGCATTATCTTGTAACCAGGAAAAAGAAATTAAAAAAGGGATAGGAAGAAATCATGAAAAAGCAGTTAATAATGTAATCACCTTTAAATTGTCAGTTGTTCAGAATCTGCTCCAAGGCAAAACACTATGTCCCTCGAGGCCATTTACAGTCCATTCCTAAGCCCCTCAGAAGGGGTCCCTGTGTACACGAGGGTCCCTGACCCCGGCACGTGGGCCCACAAATGAGGTGAATGGCTTCACTGGGCACTAACTCTTTGCTCAGAGAGAAATTAGAGACTCTCCCTTCATTTAAAAAAATAAGAATGAGGAAGGACCAAGAGGCTCAGAATTTCTTATATAAATTGGAACATTATAGCCATTTGTGGCCCAGGCTTCCTGTAACTTCATCCTTTTCCTTCCTAAGGATAGAAAAGAAAAGAAAAGACCCCCACCCTGCACCCTGTGGGAGGCTGGGCAGGCGGAACTTCACACATGGGTGCCTTTCTCAAGGACAGGCCCCTCTGGAGAGGCCGGGGCGGTGTCTGTCCGCAGACGGAAGTGTTGTTTCCAGGAGATTCTCTCAGTACCTGGTGCAGGTACTCCGACTCTCAGAGAACTCCTTGGAAGCTGGGACGGACAGAGAGGCATCAGACCCAGCACTTAGCCCAGATGCAGAGAGAGCTGGTTCAGAGCCCAGGGCTGCCACGCACCCAACGGGTGGTGACCTTGGACCCAGCACTGGGCCTCAGTTTCCACACTGGTCACTGAGGGAGAGAGACACATCCCCGGAGCTGGGGAAGGGCCCAGTGAGGGGTGAGGCCATCGGGTGCCACCCAATCTGGGATGTGAGCCTCAGGGTTCTGCAGACTGATTAGGGGAGTGAGTGGTACCACATTCAAGACTTAAAAGATACCGATGAAACACGTGGTCCAGTTTCTGTGATTTCCTAAGACCAACGCATCTACCAGCTGCAGTCAGGGCCTCCTGTCCTGTCCTGTCCTGTCCATGGTCTTATGTGAGCTTCGCAACAGCCTGGGAGGTGGGCTCAGGGGAGGGCCCTGCGGCTCACACAGCTGGAGTCTCTAGACCAAGCCCCGAGCCTCTCAACGAGTCGGGGACACGGCCCAGTTTCGATGCCAGCCTGAGTCCTCGGCAGTGGGAGTCCCGGCGGGGACCACGTCCTGACACATGGCCTTCCTCTGTCCTCCAGGCAAACACGAAGAGAAGCAGCAAGAAGGTGGCATCGTGTCCAAGAACTTCACAAAGAAAATCCAGTAAGTGACCCGCGGATTTCCGGGTTGGGGGGTGCAGGGCAGGGAGGGGCCTGGGACCTGAGATCTGGGGTCTGTCCCCTCTTGGGTGTCTCTCCTGTGAGTCACCCCCTACTCCGGTCCGGGGAATTGAACCCTCACCCTGAAAAGGGGAAAGACGTCGCAGCAAAGGAATGCTGTGAGCTGCAGCGGACCCCCAGGCTGAGCCCAGAGGCCGGGCCCCACAGAGGCCCCGCTGGCGATGCCTGTATCGGGGGAAGAGGCAGTGAGGGGCTGATGCTTCACGGGCCCACCTTTTCCCCACTCAGCATCATCCGCCACCTGTGCTTCTGGCCCCAAAGCCTTTGTCCCTTTGTCCAGTCACGGTTACACCTGGTTTTTGTTTGCAGAGGCCAAATGTAACCTTGGTTTGAAGAAGAGACATTACCCTCCCTGTACTGTGAGGAAACTGAGTCTCCCACAGGTGGAAGGACTTCCCCAAGGCCCTTGAAGTTAGAATTTAGAAGAGCCCCAAACTGACCCCGGAACTCTGGGCTCAGTGCCCATTCTTGGACCAGGGATGCGCTTTCCTCGTCAGTAACAGGGGATGGACAGTCGGTCCAGCCCTGTGGACGCAGCGCCGATTGAAAATGAGATCGAGGCTCAGGGATCCACCCAGAGCAGCACCTCACAAATGGCGGCTTGTTATTACTATTATTGTCGCAGTTATTGACTTGTAACCCCACCCCCCTGCCCTGACAAGGACAGCCCGAATCCAGAGTCTGGGTGGATTGCGTCAGGTGGATTCTCCAGGCGTCAGGATTCTGTCCGTGCCTGACCCAGCCGCTGCCTCTGGGTTCCTGGAAGCTGTGGACGCTTCCCGATAAGGCAAGCGCTAAACCGTTTCTCTTTGCACTGGCTCGCCTGCCATGCCCAAGATCAGACGTTGCTTGCTAGGGGGGATGAAAGAGCAAAAGGAGAGGGAGGGAGCTGATGTTTCTTTCAAGGGCTCAGCTAAGGTCTCCTGATGGAGTCACAGGCAAGGCGGGGCCGTGAAAGGGCCTGAGCCGGAAAGAAGTCAGCGGATTAATCATTTTGCAAAGAAGGTCATTTTCGTGGATGTCGCCATCTCTGAGGCCTCCGGCAAAACAGCTTGCCGGGAGCTACTGGGCCAGATAGAAATGCGCAAAGCTGCGTGAGGGGAGGCTGCTGTTCTGCTGGGGCCCGGTGGCTGAGCCGGGCTGGTTGTTACAATGTTGGACGAGCCTTTGCCCCGAGGGCCCTCCTTACCTCCTTAGCCAGCCAGCCAGCCAGCCCCACGGGTCCCGGACCCTCCAAAGCTCCCCACAGCCCAGAAACTGAAGGGTCCCCAGGGCCCTCCTCCATCACGGTGGCATGAATCCCTTTGTTCTGCTGGGTCGGTGTCCAGCTGCCTGTTGTTAATATTTCCATCTCACCCGGGTGCTGGGAGCCCTGGCTGCAGGGAACAGAGCTTCTGCGCCTGTGTTTCCTGGTGGGCGGGCCTGCCGGGGGACAATAGGACGTGTGTGAAGCATTTAGCACCGGGTACAGACTCAGGGCTTGGTCCATGGGAGTCCACCTCATCAAAACCTCCAGCCCAGGTCAACCTGGTCAAAGACCTTCACCAAGTCTGTTCCCCGCTCTGGGCCTCAGTCTTTCCATGTGAGAAGTGACAGTGTTGTCCTGGACATTCAAGAAGCTTCTTTCAGGCTCTGACATTCTCTAGTTCAACGATACCGCCGGTCGTGCTAAAATATTCACAGCTGCCCAGCGGCGCACCTGCAGGGCCCACGGCTGCAACGACAAGCAGGCACTGCCGGTTACCATCCAGCACTTCCGGTACGGCAGGCACGTAATTATCAGAGATATCTGTCCCTAAGAGGCAGATACTCTTTCGACCCCCGTCCCGCAGCAGGAAGTAGGCTCAGGGAGGTGAGAACACTAGCTTAAGGCCACGCGAACAGAAAGGGCTGGAATCTGCACTCGGGGCTGCCTGCCTGTGATGCCCGCACTCTGGACCACGGCTACCCAGTCACGCGGCACCAGGTGTCCATTGGGTTGGCATGCAAACGGTTAAAGAGTTGGCCCACCCCCAACAGCCAGGGGGCGGACCGAACACTTGGCCTTGTCTGGGCCGTAGCAGCAGCTCCACTTGGCAGGTGCCCAAGATCCCTCTTTCTCCTCCCTCCTTCCCAGCAGGCCCCTCGTGAATGTCCGTGGCTCCAGTTCTGCAGGCGTCTCCGGGGCAGAGGCAGCTCGGGGGTCGGGGGCTCCAGATTGCTGTTCACGGCAAAGCGCTCCCCTCCCCTCCAGGAAGGGCCCTGCCCGTGACCACGGATGGACTCCCCTCACTCCCCGTTCTCTAACCCAGACCTGTAGCCTTGCTCTCATGACAGGCAGGGCCCCCTAGGCCAGGGAGCTCTATGGTGATTGAACCATCTAGTTTCCTCTTCCCCCTACCCCGACCATGGTCCTTTTAAAAAAAAAGTCTGACGCCAGGGAGGCAGCAGAGCACCACAGCTGCTCTGAGCTCAGAGACCAGGATTCCGACGCCATTCCCCTCTGCTGCCGATCGGCTGTGTGGCCTTGGCCAAGCGCGTCACCTCTCTGACCCCGATCTCCCCGTCTGTCCATGGGGGGCACAAACAGAACTCGCCTGGTGGGATTATTGTTAACAACTAACGGAGCTGATTCCGGTGAAGCGCCTGGCACGCAGAGAATGCTCAGAGGTCCTCCTTGTCGTTATTTCTATGGATAATGGCGTCCCAAGGAGCTGTTCCCACAATTCCGATAGTTTGTTGGAGAAACGATGTCCCAAGTAGCTTCATTCGCCCCAAACAGCTCCCAAATCATGAAAACAGCCTCAGAACAGGAGCCGGAGTTGGGTTCAGACACCCCGTCTCTGGCACTCGCTCGCTCCCTCACGGAGCTGCCATTCAGCTTCCCCAAGTCTCTGTTAAATGGGCTGCACAACCAGCACATCAGTTCCTGCCTACGAACCACTCCTGGCCCGCGGCGAAGCTCGAAGAAGGCGAGCGATGCCCTCACATGTGCTCTGGGAACAATCGTCACCTGTGCAAAATGCTTCAGATGCGCCCCAAATCGCGGCCAGTGCTAAGCCTCAGGGAGCACGTTGGCATCTGAAGCCCAGCCATGCAGCCAGCCTGGTCCCCTTAAACCGCCGACTCGCCCGTGTCACCGTGAATTCCACCAGCCATGCACACGGCCAGTGAAAATGCGTCACCTGCCATGAGTCACGCCTTGCTTAGGCTCTATAAAGGGGAGGCCGTGGTGGCCATTTCTGCCGGCAGCTGGTCAACTGTGAGGGCTAAGTGGGGACCTCAACCTGGGGTCAGACCCGCGGGCCACCGCTCCCCTGTATGCTACTGCTGGGGCGGCACATGCCCATTTGCAGAGCGTGTTTGGATTCCTTGCAGAGGGCTCTAAAGCGTCACATGCTGTGCAAGTTTAGTATTATGATATCCACTTTGCAGAAGAGGGAACAAGCTCAGAGCCGTTGAGAGACCTTCCCAGGATCATACCCGGCACTGGATGCACCCAAAGCCTAAGCTCTTACCAAAAATATTTTCGTTCAGCCCTGGCTGGTGTGGCTCAGTGGATTGAGCGCCAGACTACAAACCAAAGAGTCGCTGGTTCAATTCCCAGTCAGGGCACATGTCTGGGTTGTGGGCCAGGTCCCCAGTGAGGGGCGCACAAGAGGCAACCACACACTGATGTTTATCTCCCTCCCTTCCCCTCTCAAAAAAATAAATAAAATCTTTAAAAAAACCCCAAATGTATAAAAAATATTTTCTCTCAAAGAAATAAAAGAATGTTCAAGCAGTATGGAAATAAGAAATGAATAATCTCTTGTGCTTCTCCTAGGCTTCCTGCGGAGGTGGACCCTGCGACAGTATTTGCCTCGCTCTCCCCAGAGGGTCTGCTGATCATCGAAGCCCCCCAGGTGCCCCCTTACTCACCATTTGGAGAAAGCAGCTTCAACAACGAGCTTCCCCAAGACAGCCAGGAGGTCACCTGCACTTGAGACCACGGTCTCGGCCCACCCTTGTCCCTGCCCCCCACCCCCCACAACCCTCCGGGCTTGTCTGATTCCAGGGTACATTATGCATTGCTTTAGCTGAACTCATAGACGTGGTGTGGCTAAAAAGTTGGGGGTCAGGGTAACTCGGCCAGTCCCTAGGTAGTGTAGTAGGTCTTTACACCAGAGGGTGCCGTTGGCCAGTCGTGCTCGGTTGCGTTAGGCCTTTATGCTGGGAGTTTTTCTTTCTCTACCTTTTCTGTCTTGGTAAAAAATGTTGTCCACTCGATAGTCGCAAAGCTTATAAAAGAGGACATACTATTTCACGCTGTATCTTATCTTGCAACTGATGGAAGGGTTGCTCTTCTCCGGGGACCTCGCATCACCCAGATTCCTCTTCTGGGCTCCCGATGTTCGTGCCTGCCCCCTGGTGGGCCCACGGTGCCCATGGGCTCACCTCACTGTTTCTGCAGCCATGGCCTGCAAAGGGTGACAGACAGGTCTCACCTCCCCCGAGGGGGTTTATCCAAGATTCACATGAAAATAAAGAGTGCCTTCTGCCCTGTGCCCAAGTGATGCTAGCATGTTCCCAAGCTGACCATCCCTGAGGACTCTGGAAGCCCCTCAGTTTACCTTCTGGCTAATGTCCCCCCTTTCTTGTGTCCCTCATGCCCTCCTAGGGGTCTTACAGAGGGGGCTGTCTCGGGACAGCTCCACCAGGAACCAAGCAAAGGCCAGGCAGCCTGGCAGGCAGGATCGTGGCACTGTGTGTCTGTGGGTGGGACGCGTGTGTCATTGTTATTTGGATTGTGCAGTTCTTTAGGAAAAATTAATAGTAAGTGATAATAATAATGATAATAATAATAAAGGAGCTGATGTTCTTAGCCTCATGTGCTTCTTTCGATTGAGGAATTAAATGCTACATCACTTAGATTTTCCAATATCCATCGAGAATGCTTGTGGTGGCCAGTAATGACACCCAACAAAGAGTGGCTTAAGTGACAGAAACATGCATTGTCCAACTTTACAAGAAGTCTAGATATGTGATTTTGCAGTTACTTTTTCAGTGGTAATGCCACCAAAATCCCGAAGTAGTTCCTTTTTTCCTCTGCAATTCTGCAAAGCCTCTCCTCATGTTGGCGAGGTGGCTGCAGCCGCTCTGGGCACCTCACCCTCGTGCGGCAATGCACAGGAAGAGAGGGCAGGGGTGGGAGGGTCTCCTCATCTGGCATTACTCTTTGATCAGTTCGAGATCTCTCCCGGGAGTTCTCAGCAGATTGATTTGACCTCATTGACCAAAACTGGGTCATATGAGCACTGATCCTGCCAGTAGCTGGGCAGCTGGGCAGGGGAGCCTCCAAGGGGTGTGTTGGCAGCTCGGCTGACATTTTGATTTCCACCTGACGAAACATCTGACCTGGCTAGTCGGTGCCCAGACATGACCCGCAGAAACGATGAGATAAAGATCTATCATGAGACAATAAATAAGTAAAATTCAAAACCAGACAGCAGGGTCATGCGTCTACCCTGAAGCCAATCCCTCCCTGGCAAGAGGCAGAGGGGTGGCCGGCCGTGCTGGGCTTCGGTCGATACTGATTTACCCTCTGAGGCCCGGAACAGTGCCGCCTGAACAAAACGAGCCTCGGGCAGGACGGAGGGAAGGGGCTTAGTGCCCGAGCGGGGAGACCCCAGCGCAGACACTGCCGCAGACTGAGGCTGTCCGGGGCACCAGGCCGTGCTCAGGGCTCAGGAAACCCAGCTCACACTGATTTACGCAAAGCGGGTATTGACTGGCGCACGTGGCTGTGAAGCCCAGGATGTACGTTTGCTCCTGGTGTCTGAGGATGCCGGCAGAACTCAGTTTCTCTCCATCTCTGGGCCCTGCGGTGATGGCTCCATTCCCCACCTCCCTGCGGCCCCCTGCCTCCCCGGCTCCTCGCCCCCACGCCGCCATGTCCTCCCATGTGCTCACAAGATGACCACATTCCAGTCCCCACTGGGAAACCAGCCGGTCATCTCCCAGAGCTTTGATTGCATTCCCTAGAGTCATTCTTACTGGACCAGCTTGGGTCACATGACCATTTTTGAGCCACAGCCCATGAAATCAATGCTTTGATTGGCCGGGCCTGGGTCACATGCTCCATCCCTGGAGCCAATCCTATTTAATCTCACTACACCCTAGGAAGCAGATATTAATTTTACAGTGAAGACACTGAGGCCGAGAGAGAGGCCGAGAGAGAAGCGGGTGGCCTGGGCAAGTCACACGGTGCCAGCAGAATGCAGACCTACATGTTTGCTTTCAGAGGAGTCAGTGAGGAGCTGCTGGGCTGCTTCTCAAGAGCATCTCCAGTGCTCTCAAAGCAGCAGAAGTCAGTGACTATTTCCCAAGCCCCTGCTCTGCTAGGTCCTGCGCTAGGAGCCAAGGAGTTGGTGGCCCATGGGCCACACTCCCTGCCCACAGGCCAGAGGCAGGCAGATAAAAGAACACCGGATGCTCCCCAAACCCTTCCTGTGTGCGGGACACGGTCCTGAGGGCTTCGTGTGTATACTAGACCCCGTCACCCTGCAAGTGCAAGCGGTAGGCTCAACTCTTCTCTCTGTTTGACGGATAAGGAAACAGAGGAGGGAGGGCGGAGGGTGCTGCCCCAAACCACAGGCCCGGTCCGTCCCTGGGACCCTTACATGAGTTAACCATTGATCAGTCACTCTGTCTGCCCTCTCCCGACAAAGCACAGTGTGAGTGTGCCCTACCCGAGTCCAGCCAACTTGTGGGGAGAGAAGAGAGGAGGTACTTCCAGCTGGGGATTTGCAGGGGGTGGGGGCGGGGGTGGGATGGCTTGCAGAGGAGGGGTTACCCCTGCGGGGTTGAAGGACTTGCGCACACAGGGATGGGTGGGGAGGCTCCTCCCAGGCAGAAGAAAACACATGAGCCCAGGGGAAAGGTATGTGCCTGTGAAAACCCTTTCATGCTCCCCCATTATTGAAAGGATTGAGTGTGAGCTTCCATGCGTGACTTACAAGGCATTATGGACCTGTCTTCAGGTTACCTCTCCGCCCCGCCCTACACCCCCACCCCCGCCCTCAGCATCCAGCCCCACCTCACTTCCCACTGTTCTTCCAACCAGACAAGCCCTCTCTTGTGAAACTTGGAACACACTGTTCTCTTCCTCGCTGGCCACACGGTTGGACCCTTCCCTGACCTTTCCTGCCCTGGCGATAACATCCAGGCCTCAGACGCAGTTCAGCTCCAGGCCCAGAAAAGCAGCAGCAAAACCAGACAGGACCCCCTGCAGATGAGCAGTCTACTGAGATCTCCCCTGAGCCCTCCCCTGGTATCCCCACCTTTGGAAAGCAGATAACACACACATACACCCCTCCCACAGCCAGACCAGGACCCAGCACACGGCCTCCTGGGGCACGCTCACTTTAAGTGAATTTTCTTTCTAAACTCTAAGGGACCCCATGAGACTTACAACCAGCGGAGCAATGGGCAGCAGGAGCTCATCCCAGGCTCACCCGCCAGACTTGTCTCCAAGGCCCCGTGTTGTCGGAGTCTGCAGGGAGCTGACAACAGCCCCGCCCTAGCTCCCTTCTGTCCCGTGAGCCGCCCCCACAGGCAGGCTCTCTCCTGCTGCTGCTTCTCTCCAGCCCTCCTTGTCCCCCTGTCCCCAGCGTTAATGAGCTTACTCTCAGAGACACCTGGACTCCGTGCTGTGAAATCTTTCCTGCATGAAGTCAAGAGCCCACACACTGATCGGGGGGACAGAGCTAAAACCCTTTTCACGACCAGCTGTGCTTTCTTTCCATTACAGCGGGGGATGATGGCTGACTGACTGTGTAACCAATGACCAAATGTGTACGTGTAACTGAGACTTAGTTGCAGTTAGCAGTTAACCAGGAATGAATGAAGGGACTTCTGACCCAGCCCTGAACCCACACGCCCAGTCACCAGGCCCGGTCACCAGGCATGCAGAGGCTGATGGACTACATTCCAGAAACTCCCAGAAACACAGGGATGACGCAAACCAGACCACCACTTGAGGGCTCTGAGATCCTTATCAGAACAATGACCTTCCTGTTCCGGGATGAAGAGTGATGAAGACATTCAACAAGACCCAAACCCCACAAGGACTCAATCCCAAAACCATCCCCTTCCAGGCCCCTTGTGCTCCTTCCCCTAGAGAAACTTGCTCCTGACAACCTTACGGGAAGGTGGACTTAGGGTTTTTACCTGCCACCTCCTCACATCACTGGCATCTGATACCAACAAAACCACAAGGATAACCCAGTCCCTGCCTATGTGGCTCAGCGGCGACAGGCAGCAGGAGCCCCGACTCGGTCACCCTCCGGTTTCCACACCGCCCGGCTGGCCCGAGACTGGCCCACCCCGGGCCGGGTCCCCTTCCCGGCAAATACTGCCTTGTGTTTGTTCAACACAGAGTTGCCGCGCACCTACCACACGTAGGAGGCACCGTGCTGGGTGTTGGGTCACAGTTTCTTTAGGCTCTGGGAGCCTGGAGAGGGGAGGAGGAAAACAGAGCTGTTAGGTCACCAGTTTCGGGCCACTGAATGGTGAGAGCCTGCCTATCAGCCGTTCCAAGGCCAAGGGCATGGAGGGCCACACGGATTTGACCCAGCAGGGTCTCTAGGGCTGAGGGGGGCGGTGGGGGCTGCCCTGTACCGAGAGGTGCCGGGGAGGAGTGCCAGGTGGTGGGTGGACCCACAACCTAAAACAGGCTGCACAATAGTCAACTTTCAACTCTTTGCATTGTGATATACAACGCATCGGCCAGCCCAAACTTTAAGGAGGCCTTGTGCACCCATGGATGCTCTGTCTGGGTGGTTGGGGGACAACCCAGAGCAATGAGAATGGGGAGGAGACTTCTCCATGGGCAGGAATCTGAAGGGAGAAGGGGCCATGAGAAAGCATCTCCTGAGACATCACCTATCTCGAGGCCAGGGCATGGGATGGAGGATGCAACAGTTCTATTTAAATATCTCAGGAGAGCGAGGCTGCACCAGAGAGCTGTACCGTTCCCTGGTCAACTGACTACAGATCTCTCAAAGGCTGAGACCACGTCTTGTTGGTCTCCACCGTCTCTCCCACTCCTAGCACAGCTCCTGGCACACGGAAGGCCTTCTGCATTCACCGGATGCACGGGTAAACGCACTGAGCAAATTAAACCCAAACTCCTTTCCACCCCCTTCCAAGTCCCGCGTGATTTGGCCCTGTCACCTCCCATCTCCCGTGGCTCCTCCTGCTCTTGTTCATTACACACGGGCCTCCTTTCTGTCCCTCAAACACTCACCCCAGGGCCTTTGCACTGTTCATTCCTTTGGTCACCCACGCTCTGCCCCCCAGCTCCTCGCCTGGCCACCTCCTTCTGATGACAATTTCCTCGGGTTTCCCCTCAAGCTCCACTGCCCCGGATCTGATCACTATGAAACCCATCGCACGACTGTGACGACTCCAAAGCACTTCTCGGGGTTGTGCTGGCTTGGCTGCAACACGCACATGCGCATTAAAGTCTCAGCTGCCCCCAACACACGTCGCGTCCGTAGATACGCCCTAGAGTGTGAGCTCCAAAGGGGAAGGGGCTTCCTTTCTCTGTCTGGTCCACCCCTATGTCTTCCATGCTGAGTGCGACGTTTAGGGCACCACATCATAAAAACGCATGGAATGATTGGATGAATGAAGGAACGCTGGGCATGAGTCACCTGGGAAATGAAGCCAAAGGCACGACGATCTCAAACCCCAGAAACGCGGCTCATTGCCGTCTGGAGAGTTTCCAGCTCGAAGGCACGAGCTTTGTCATCAGAATCGATGGCTCGGCCCTTCCCAGGAGATCTCCAGTGAAAGCACAGAAGGGTCCGGCCCCTGGGC